GGCTGAGACAATGGCTGCGACATCGGCTGCGACGGCGGCACGACTGCATGATCTTCTCCCGGCGTGGAACTCTCTCGATTATCGGTGTTGACTTGAGGAATAGGTGTGGTGACTTGTGTCGGTGAAGCTGAAATGTTCGTCGGCATAGTTGGCTGTGAAGATTCTCTTGGTGGGGATCTTGAGACTAGAAGCTTGGGAATTGATGATGACGCTGCGTTGTCGAAAGTTGGAGACGGTTCGGTCTGATTGGCGCTGGTTCTCGGTGTTGAAGATGGCGGTAACTGATGACGGCCGATTCCGGGACGTGGGGGTGAAGTTGAGAAAGGTCTTGGGTGAAGAAGTGGGCTGTTGGAGCTGGTGTTGGTGGTGATTCGCTGAAGTGATCCTCGTGCTATGAGCTGGCTTGACGTTGGAACCTGAAGTGATGAACGTGTGTGAGAACGAGATGTTGCGGTAATGGTTGTCTTGTTGGTAGGAAGAATTGTAGATGGTGCTGATGTAGGTACTTGGAGTCTTGTAGCTGTAGGTTGCTGCTGCATTGGATGATGGTGAGCTTCTGTAGTTGCCTCTGAATTGACGGCTGGTGATGGGTTTGATGGTGTAGTGGTGGGCTGATCCGGGTGACGTTGAACTTGCGGGGTTGGTGTTGAAGTAGCTGGCTGGTTGGTGACGGTTGGCTGCTGCTCCTTTGGCGGTGATGTAACGGTGGCTTCTTGGGGTGGATTGTCTTCATTTGACGGCTGAACCACATCTCCACTTGGTTGAGTAGCTGCTGGTGGCACTGGTGTGGCGCAGCTGGTCTCGTTGACGACGGCTTGCGGGAGATCGATGATGGGTCCGCTATGGTCAGAATTGGTGTCATCTCCGTCCTCCTCTTGTGTTGTTTCCTCAGGTGCTCTTGCTGGTTCCTGTTGGAGAGAGGGTGGTAGAGAGGAGGAAGAGGAAAACTTGTGCCAATCTGCAAGGGACATGTCTTCATAGAAGACCACATCCCTTGAAACCACTTCTCGCTTGGTGATGGGATCCCAAAGGACCCATCCCTTGCTCTCGTTGCTCATGCCGATGAAGAGGCCCCAATGAGCTCTGCTGTCCAGCTTGACTCTCTTTGCATCTGGAACACGGTATTGGGTCATGGAACCAAAAACACGAAGCATAGACAGATCTGGCTTAACTCCAAACCAAGCCTCATATGGCGTTACACCATCCGGTAGGGGCCTTGTGGGTCTCCTGTTGCGAACATAGATTGCCATAGTGATTGCCTCACCCCACCAGAGCTTGTCAAGGCCCTTAAACTGAAGAAAAGTGGTAGCTATTGCTTGAATAGTGCGATGAAACCTCTCTGCAACTCCATTTTGCTGAGGACTATAGGGACAAGTGAACTGTTGTTTGATGCCCAATGCCAACAACTCCCCCTGAAATGCTTTTCCCATGTACTCACCTCCTCGGTCCGACCTCAAGGTGAGCAACTTCTTCCCTGACTCTCTCTCAACAAGTGCTAGCCATTGCTTGAAACACTTGTGAACTTCATCCTTGGTGTTGATGAAAAATGACCACGAGAAACGACTCTTGTCATCAATGAAAGACACCAAATATCTCTTACCGTTTCGAGTAGGGTCTCGCATGGGGCCAAATACATCAGTGTGGACCAACTCTAGGAGGTCCCTTGACTGAGACTTAGAAGGGAAAAATGGCTTTCTAGCTAGCTTACCCTCAACACAAGATGGACATGGAACGGAAGAAAGGGACTTGACTGCAATTTCACTCAAACTCAATCCTTCCACGCTCTTGTGATTCACCAACTCTTTCAATGCTTGCATTCCCAAGTGCCCCAAGCGTGCATGCCATACCTCAACTTGGGAGATACTCCCTTAGTTGGTTGAAACAGCGGGAAGCGAGACAACGTCGTTCTTCGTATTGTTAGAACCGCGCTTGATCTCCAACTTCATCTTATAGAGCCGCCCGGTACGCTCGCCTTCAGCCACCAAATTTCCTGCACTGTCCCACACTTTGGCTTTCCCCCCTTGCAATAGTACAGAGGCACCTTTCTCTTCAAGTTGTCCAGCTGAGAGCAAGTTTGCTCCCAAATCAGGAACAAACAAAGCTTTATTGACACAAAATGACTTACCATCCTTTTCGAACTCAATCTTGCCGACTCCTTTGATAGGTACTTTGCCAAGATCAGCAAGTGTCACAGCTTTTGAGTCATATGAGGGCTGAAAATCCTTGAGAATGGACTGATAGGGAGTCATGGTTTCAGAACAGCCACTATCAAGGATAAACTCCTCACTACTAGTAGAAAAAACGTGCATGCAAGTGGCGGCGTTGAAAAGGACAGGACCTTCAGAATCTTTGGACTCATTTTGACTTGTAGAATGTCTTGCCATGTTTGCTATGGCTGCCTTACCCTTTTCGGATAGTAGCTGAGGTGGGGGAACCCAATTAGGAGGCTTCTTAGGACAAGCATACCACGGATGACCCCACTCATGACAGCAAAAACACTCGAAATTAAACTTTTTAGCATTTGAGGCTTGGCTGAAATTATTGACTCTTGGCGTATAGACTCGTGCATTCCTAGGCTGATATTGATTGGGAATAGAAGGCCTTGGCTGGACATAGGGACTTGACTTATAGGGAGGACTTGACTGAGCAAAACGAGAGGGTTTGTATGGGTTGGAAGGTGATTGAAAATTCGTACCATAGTAAGGTTGAGGGCGGTTTGGGCTGAAATTTCCTTGCCTCTGAGATTGGTTGCCATATCTTGTAGCTGCTGCAGCACTCCACGCACCCTCGTCACTCCGCTTGTTTCGTGCAAGGTCTCGACTTTGCTGCTCGTTGACAAGGGCTTCGAAGATGAACACACGGGTCTTCATTGATTGCGGAAGTGCTTGTAGTGTTGCACGGAAAGTGTCCCACTCCGGTGTAAGGCCGGTGAGGATGACGGTCTTGAAAAGAGACTCTGGAATCTCCAAGCCGATCGCGGCTGCTTCCTCTAGCATCGTTTCAGCTCGTTGAAGGTAGGTTTGGGCTGATTCTTCTTCTTCCATCTTGAGACTCATGAAGCGGCTCCACATCTCGGCCTGGCTGCTCTCGGATTTTGACTGGTGCATAGACTTCAGTCGGCTCCATGCTTCCTCTGCGCTGTTTGCCTTTGTAGAGCAGGGTAGGAGCGACTTCAACTGTTGCTCGTGAATGCTATTGAGTAGGTAGAGGAAGGCCTCCTTGTTGCGCCGTTCGTAGAGTCGTTTTTCAGCTTCTGAAGCATCTGCTGCTGGTTTGGTTGCTTCTCCAGTGTAGTAAGGCCAGAGATCCAGAAGGGATGCAGTGAGCTCAAACTGAGTTGCCCATGTTGGAAAATCTTTGCCGTTGAACTTGGGGAGGTGAAGCTTAGGCATGAAGGAGGTGAGTGGTGAGTATGTAGTTGAAGAACTGCCTGGTGCAACTGCTTCCTCTAATCCAGTAGCTCCTGATGTTGACTCTGAAGCTCCTCCGGCTGGCTGGAGTGCAGGGCCAGATGGGTTGTCTCCCGCCATGGATGGATTGTGCTAGGATAGGAAGGTGGTGGCACTCGGTTGATCGAAACGACGGGCTCTGATACCAACTTGCAAAACAGAGTAGCTTTGATGACTGGTAGGCTGGAAACTTGGCTGGAAAAGCTCAACAGAGCTGCTGGACTTGGCTTGATGAGAGAAAACTTCACTATGATCAAGATTAACAAGCCCACTAAAGCACAACTTCTTAAGCATTACAAACATGCAGATTGATAGCTCAAACTAGGCTGCTAGACAAGGCAACTTCCTTGGGAACTTGGGCACAATTCAGATTCCATGAACCTTGAGTGACTCCACATGAGGTGCATAAATAAGAAATCTCTGGAATGTACTGTTATAGCTGATTCTGTTTTGTAGAAACCTGTAGAAACTGTCGACCCTTCTGTTTGAGAGCAATCCCGAACTGTATCGAGTCTTCGGCTGCAATCTGATTTTGCTGCGGAAGTTTCTGAATTTTCGCGAAGCCTTCAATCCGTCGCCGACATTCTTGCTGCTCCTTGGCGGTGTTCGCCAGCACCTTTGAGATTGGAAGAAAATGGAAGGCATTGGACTGGCAACGGCATCAGGAAGCGGGGTCGGAACCCTCCGAAAAGGTTTGGGCGAAATGCCACCCGCGAACTTTCCAGCCCCGACATGAGAAACTTCACAACCGCATGGAACCCCACACCCCACCTTCCTCCGACAGCCAATTACATCGCCTATCTACGGCGGTCCACGTGAAATGGTGGATTGCCACGGGATGGCATGAGACGGGACGTTTGCCTGGGGAGGAAGTCGCGTCCCCATTTCCGAATGCCATGTTTCCTTCCGAAAATTGAGAAAAATGAGAGCGTTCGCCAGGCACCGCAGATTGCTTTAGGCTCGGACGACATCCTAGCTTCGGCACGAATTTTACGGGCTGACCAGGCTGACGGAGCTTAACGAATCCTAACTGACGGGATCAGGAAGGCGTGACTGACCTTCCTGATCCCGTCGTTTTCGTTTTCAAAAGTGCTGGCGAACACCGCCCTTGTGTGCAAAGGGCTGGGGCGGCAGAGACTCGATTCTCCAACAAGAATCCCCTCGAGCTTCCTGGGAGCGAGTCGCGCAAAGCCCAGGGCCATGAGTCATCATCGTTAGCAGCACAGCACAGCACAGCTCATCGCTTTGGTTCCCGTGTTGTTTTAAGAGCACGGTGTGAACGTGGCGTGCATTACGGTCTGTTGCGCGGAGGAACGCGGATCGTCTCCGCAGCGACGAAGTCTGTGAGCGATTGGTGAGAATTCTCGAAAATCGCTCACACCAACGAAATCATCTACACTTCGATAGACGAAAACGTGCCGTTGGCGGCGGTGACGTTGAAAATGTCCTGATGCCTGACAACAGCACGAACCTACTAGCACCGTTCCGTACCGTGAGCAACACTACCGTGCCGGAGTAACTCACCGGACCGTGCCGTGCGGGCAGCGCGGCATGGCGGTGGTGGGCGGCGCGATGGTGCGCGCGGGGCGCGTGGTGTTCGAGGGGTCCGTCATGCTCGGCTCGCTCGCCGCGCTCTTCGCCACCGGCTGGTGGTTCCTCGTCGCGCGCCTCTACAAGGTGCGCTCCGCTGTAAGCCGGCCCAGCATGCTGCTTATAGCGCGTATGGCTGGTGGTTCCTCGTCGCGCGCCTCTACAAGGTGCGCCCCGTTATAAGCCGGCCCAGCATGCTGCTTATGGTGCGTATGGCTGGTGGTTCCTCCTTCGCACCTCTACAAGGTGCGTCCTCATCCCTTGCCATCCGGCTGTGTCCCCATTGGTCCCCCCATCCCCCATCTTCCCCACACCCCCCCCACCCTTTCCCCCCGTCCCCCAGGACTACGACGAGCAGTATTTGGCATTGGAGGTGCTCTTCGCGGCTGTCCATTGTCCGTTGCCCCCCGTCCCCCCTCTCCCTCCCCCATCTTCCTCTCCCCCCTCCTCCTCTCATCCCCCCTTCCCCTCCACCCCCCAGGACTACGAGGAGCAGTACCTGCCGGTGGAGGTGCTCTGCTTATGTTCTTGAACCACCCGACCCGATTTCCCTCCTCCTCTCCCCCTCTCTCCCCCTTTTCCCCCCTTCCCCTCCGCCCCCCAGGACTACGAGGAGCAGTACCTGCCGGTGGAGGTGCTCTTTGCGGCTGTCATTGAACCGCCCTAATCCCCCACTCTCCCTCTTCCTCTTCCTCCATCCCCCCACCCCACTCCCCCCTCACTCCCCCTCCACTCCCATCCCCCAGGACTACGAGGAGCAGTACCTGGCGGTGGAGGTGCTCTTCGCGGCTGTCTTCGCGCTCTCCTGCAATCTGCTGCAGCTCGTGCTCTTTGAGATCCTGCCCGTGCTCGGCACCAGGTAACCTCCCCTCCCCGTGCTCGGCACAAGGTTGGTTACTATTGCACAAGGTTGGTTACTATTGGCACAAGGTTGGTTACTATTGGCACAAGGTTGGTTACTATTGGCACAAGGTTGGTTACTATTGGCACAAGGTTGGTTACTATTGGCACAAGGTTGGTTACTATTGGCACAAGGTTGGTTACTATTGGCACAAGGTTGGTTACTATTGGCACAAGGTTGGTTACTATTGGCACAAGGTTGGTTACTATTGCACAAGGTTGGTTACTATTGCACAAGGTTGGTTACTATTGCACAAGGTTGGTTACTATTGCACAAGGTTGGTTACTATTGCACAAGGTGGGTTGGATTCTATCCGTGTGGCACAAGGTACCCACCTGCCCTGTCATTTCTATATGCCGTTGAAGTAGTCTTTATGAGCCCACCTCACCTGTAAGCTCTCACATTTCTCCACTCACCCACCCTCTCCCTCCATCCTCCCATCGCCCTGTTTTCCCCATGCTCCCATCCCCATGCTCCCTGTGACACGTGGCAGTGCGCGGCTGTGGAACTGGCGCTTTGACCTCTCGCTGCTGCTCGCGCTGCTGCTCATCGTGCTGCCCTGCTACCACTCCTTCCTCGTCCTCGCCAACACCGGTACGAGGCGGCAAATGCTGCTACACGCCCACCACACTTATACGCGCCATGCACCCCTGCGCACAGCACACCCATACATGCTGCCCATCGTGCTGCCCTTCTATGCTACCACTCCTTCCTCGTCCTCGCTAACACCGGTACGTGCCCTTGCATACACCCACCTACCCACCCACCCACCACACTTATACGCGCCATGGCACGGCAGGCATGTGAAGGGGCGTGGTGCGCTCACCCACCTCCCATCTGCTCTACATTCGCCTTCGTCTCCCTGGTGCTCCCTGCATGTATCGTGTGCTAACTGCTCGCCCCCCCACGGCACGGCAGGCATATGGAGGGGCGTGGTGCGCTTGCCCACCTCCCATCTGCCCTACATTGCCGCTCTGCGCTCTCATCTCTCCCATGCGCACTGCTCAACCCATCACTCGCCTCCTGCTCGCCCCATACCACGCATGAGGAGGTGCCTCGGAGTCGGCTAAAAGCTCACCCTCGTCTCTCTGATTCTCCCTGTATGTGGCGTGTGCTGACTGCTCGGCCCCCCACGCCATGGCAGGCATGAGGAGGGAGCGTGCAGCAGCGGGGGCGGTGGTGTTTCTGGGAGGCTTTCTCTACCTCTTCTGGCGCATGGGCATCTCCTTCCCCATGCCCACGCCCGATAAAGGTGTTGTTATACACAGGCACACAGGCACACATGCACACATGCACACATGCACACATGCACACATGCACACATGCACACATGCACACAGGCACACAGGCACACATGCACACATGCACACAGGCACACAGGCACACATGCACACAGGCACACAGGCACACAGGCACACAGGCACACAGGCACACAGGCACACAGGCACACATGCACACAGGCACACATGCACACAGGCACACATGCACACAGGCACACAGACACACATGCACACAGGCACACAGGCACACATGCACACAGGCACACAGGCACACATGCACACAGGCACACAGACACACATGCACACAGGCACACAGGCACACATGCACACAGGCACACATGCACACATGCACACAGGCACACAGACACACATGCACACAGGCACACAGGCACACATGCACACAGGCACACAGACACACATGCACACAGGCACACAGGCACACATGCACACAGGCACACATGCACACATGCACACAGGCACACATGCACACATGCACACAGGCACACAGGCACACATGCACACATGCACACAGGCACACAGGCACACATGCACACAGGCACACAGGCACACAGGCACACAGGCACACAGGCACACAGGCACACAGGCACACATGCACACAGGCACACATGCACACAGGCACACAGACACACATGCACACAGGCACACAGGCACACATGCACACAGGCACACAGGCACACATGCACACAGGCACACAGGCATACAGGCACACAGGCTCCAGGCACACAGGCACACATGCACACAGGCACACAGGCGCACAGGCACACAGGGTGCACAGGCGCACAGGCGCACAGGCGCACAGGCGCCCAGGCGCCCAGGCGCACAGGCGCCCAGGCGCACAGGCGCACAGGCGCACAGGCGCACAGGCGCCCAGGCGCACAGGCGCCCAGGCGCTCAGGCGCCCAGGCGCCCAGGCGCCCAGGCGCACAGGCGCCCAGGCGCACAGGCGCACAGGCGCACAGGCGCACAGGCGCACAGGCGCACAGGCGCACAGGCGCACAGGCGCACAGGCGCACAGGCGCACAGGCGCACAGGCGCACAGGCGCACAGGCGCACAGGCTCACAGGCGCACAGGCACACAGGCAGCCCTCACCTGTACCTTTTCTTGCGCATGGGCATCTCCTTCCCCAAGCTCACCCCTGACAAAGGCAAGCCTCTCCGTGCTCATACCCACTCTCAATAAAGGCAGGCGTGCGAACCTCACTCCATGTCCCCATGCTGAATTCCACTGGTATGAGCCAAGCCACCTCATTCTTGCGGGCAGACTTTTGAGTCGACTCAGCAGTCACCTCAGCGGTGGAAGCCACTCTGATGCCGCGAGCTCTAATCTTCCTCACTGCGGCCAGTTAGTTCCTAACAGAGGCAACCTGTTCTCTCTCATGCAAGATTCATCCCCCAAAACCCATTTCTCCCGCACTGCCTGCGTGGCTCTTGGCCTTCTCCCCGCAATCGCGTCTACCCTCCAATCCAGCCACTTATGAGAATTCTGAAAAACCAACCCTTCCATCCCCAACTTCCCCCCCCCCCCCCCTCTCTCCCCTGCTTTGTGTTCTGCCCTTATTGACCTGGGTCTGTCATGGTAGTGCAGATGCTGACCTGCGTGTTGGGGGTGGTAGGAACCACGGCCATAGCCGTACATTGTTCCCCTCCTCTGCGCTCCACTACCTTTCCTTCCTCTATGTCTTTCTCCTCCGCCACCCCTTCCCCCCCCTGCGTCTCCTCCTCTCACTCCCCCACGTGGCCCTGCGCGCAGGTCTCGTCACAGTGGCGCAGATGGTGAGCCGCGTGGGGGTGATAGGAGTCACGCTCATGGCTGTGCTCTCAGGCTACGGGGCGGTCAACCTGCCCTTCACCTACCTCTCACTCTTCATCAGGTGAGACAGCTGTTATTCTTCTTGAACTACAAGCACGTGGCAGTGCTGTGCTCTCAGGCTACGGGGCGGTCAACCTGCCCTTCACCTACCTCTCACTCTTCATCAGGTGAGACAGCTGTTATTCTTCTTGAACTACAAGCACGTGGCAGTGCTGTGCTGTCAGGCTACGGGGCGGTCAACCTGCCCTTCACCTACCTCTCACTCTTCATCAGGTGAGACAGCTGTTATTCTTCTTGAACTACAAGCACGTGGCAGTGCTGTGCTCTCAGGCTACGGGGCGGTCAACCTGCCCTTCACCTACCTCTCACTCTTCATCAGGTGAGACAGCTGTTATTCTTCTTGAACTACAAGCACGTGGCAGTGCTGTGCTGTCAGGCTACGGGGCGGTCAACCTGCCCTTCACCTACCTCTCACTCTTCATCAGGTGAGACAGCTGTTATTCTTCTTGAACTACAAGCACGTGGCAGTGCTGTGCTGTCAGGCTACGGGGCGGTCAACCTGCCCTAAATCAGGTAACACCTACCCCTCGCTGTTCAGCATAGATATGCTGGTGGGGAAGAAGAGAAGAGGCGTGCTGCTCATGTTACACACGAGTGCAAGCAACCCCTTCCAGTGGGAGATAGGAGAGGCGCAGATGTGGTTGTTGGAGCAGCAAATGCACGTGGCCTCTGTGTTACATGTGAGGCATGTGCCATACATTTACGTGTGGGTCTGCTTTACCCCATCCCAGGGAGATAGACGAGGCGGAGATAGGGGCGTTGGAGCGGCGGCTGAGGCACGGAATGGAGATGCTGGTGGGGAAGAAGGAGAGAGGCGTGCTGCTCTGCTCATGTTCCACATGCGTGCTGCCCCTTGCGCTTGTGTGCTGCCCCCTCCACATGCGTGCTGCCCTCCACATGCGTGCTGCCCTCCACATGCATGCTGCCCCTTGCGCTTGTGTGCTGCCCCCTCCACATGCGTGCTGCCCTCCACATGCGTGCTGCCCCTTGCGCTTGTGTGCTGCCCCCTCCACATGCGTGCTGCCCTCCACATGCGTGCTGCCCTCCACATGCATGCTGCCCTCCACATGCATGCTGCCCACGGCAGGGAGATAGACGAGGCGGAGATAGGCACGTTGGAGCGGCGGTTGAGGCACGGCATGGAGATGCTGGTGGGGAAGAAGAAGCGATCCCTTCTCATGCGCATGCACCTCGACCGCACCCACCCGCACCTCATGCAAGTGAGACTCGAAATCCTCATTCAATGCGACAAACTTCCCTTTCACAACCGCTTTCCCCCTCTCCTCCTCTATTAGTCCACGAGTCCTGTGCATAGATGTCGGCGTCAGGTGACATCTATGGGACCCTATAGACCCCTGTGGGCCCCTATGGGACTCTATAGACCCCTGTGGGCCCCTATGGGACCCTATGGGACCCTATGGGAGAAGAGCTCCAGCTTCACAAGCTCTCGGTGATTAGCTAGTGTTTAGGTTTTCACACTTTCTTCTCCTACTTGCTTAAACTTACTCCTACGCAAGTGCTGCTCACTGGAAAATGTCCCAAAGTCCACGAGTCCTGTGCATAGATGTCGGCGTCAGGTGACATCAATGGGCCCCTATGGACCCCTATGGATCCCTATGGACCCCTATGGACCCCTATGGACCCCTATGGGCCCCTATGGACCCCTATGGACCCCTATGGACCCCTATGGACCCCTATGGACCCCTATGGACCCCTATGGACCCCTATGGACCCCTATGGACCCCTATGGGCCCTTGTCGCTTGCCTCGTAGGGACTGTACGAGGGTCCATAAGGGCGTCAGGCTTCCCATGGCTCTCACCCCCCTCCCCCTCCCCCCCCCCTCTCTGCTTCCTTCCTTCCTTCCTTCCTTCCCCCTCATCTCCCGTTTTCCCGTGGACCCCTTTTCCTCCCTCATGCCCACATCTCCCCTCCCACCTTCCCCTGTCCGTCCCCCCTGCATGCGTGCTCGCCGAACCTGTGTTGTGCCGACCATCTGGATTGCATGGGCCCCAGGCGGGCCGACTGAATTGCATGGGCTCCAGGCGGGCCGACTGCCTCTCCTGTCATCCCCCTTCCATGCCGCGTCTCGAACGGTCCTTCCATGCCTCTTCTCTCTCTCCACTGCGCCGACCACTGGAAGGGAAGCTGCATGCCCTCACAGGAGCTCTCTGCATGCCCTCACAGGAGCTGTCTGCATGCCCTCACAGGAGCTCTCTGCATGCCCTCACAGGAGCTCTCTGCATGCCCTCACAGGAGTTCTCTGCATGCCCTCACAGGAGCTCTCTGCATGCCCTCACAGGAGCTCTCTGCATGCCCTCACAGGAGCTGTCTGCATGCCCTCACAGGATCTCTCTGCATGCCCTCACAGGAGCTCTCTGCATGCCCTCACAGGAGCTCTCTGCATGCCCTCACAGGAGCTCTCTGCATGCCCTCACAGGAGCTGTCTGCATGCCCTCACAGGATCTCTCTGCATGCCCTCACAGGAGCTCTCTGCATGCCCTCACAGGAGCTCTCTGCATGCCCTCACAGGATCTCTCTGCTTTTCAGCAGTGATGTCCTTCCCACCCCCCCCCCTCCCTTCTCCCCCCTCCCCACCTCCCCCCTCCCCTCTCCCCCCTCCCTCCTCTCCCCTCCCCCTTCCTTTTCGCCCTCTCCCCCCACCTCCCCCCGTCCCCCTCCCCCTTCCCCCTCTCCCCGTGCCCCCCTCGCCTGGCGGTGACGGCAGGAGCTGCATGGGAATGCACGGGGTGCGTCTGTGCTGCGTCGATTCGTGGGGCTGCTGATGCGCGCCCCCAGGGAGGAGGAGAGGGACGAAGGTGGGGCAGGAAAGAAGGTGGGGAGGAATGGAAGGTGGGGAGGAATGGAAGGTGGGGAGGAATGGAAGGTGGGGAGGAATGGAAGGTGGGGAGGAATGGAAGGTGGGGAGGAATGGAAGGTGGGGAGGAATGGAAGGTGGGGAGGAATGGAAGGTGGGGAGGAATGGAAGGTGGGGAGGAATGGAAGGTGGGGAGGAATGGAAGGTGGGGAGGAAAGGAAGGTGGGGAGGAATGGAAGGTGGGAGGAAAGGAAGGTGGGGAGGAATGGAAGGTGGGGAGGAATGGAAGGTGGGGAGGAATGGAAGGTGGGGAGGAATGGAAGGTGGGGAGGAATGGAAGGTGGGGAGGAAAGGAAGGTGGGGAGGAATGGAAGGTGGGGAGGAAAGGAAGGTGGGGAGGAATGGAAGGTGGGGAGGAAAGGAAGGTGGGGAGGAAAGGAAGGTGGGGAGGAAAGGAAGGTGGGGAGGAAAGGAAGGTGGGGAGGAAAGGAAGGTGGGGGGAGGGAAGGAGGTGTTGAGGTGCGGGGTATGTGGGCGGGGAGAGCAGTGATGGTTGGGATGTAGCTGTTGGGGTGCTGATGCGCTCACGCATGTAGGAGGAGCGGGGCGAAGGGCTACCCCCTTCTTCACCCACCAGAGAGCATGCGCTTGAAGGGCTACCCCCCGCTGCTGCTGCTGCACCTGCACGCCATGGAGGTGGCTGAAACGCAATTCTTCCCCCCAATCCCCCATTGCCCCCACACCCCACACCCACCAGAGAGCATGCGGCTGAAGGGCTACCCCCCGCTGCTGCTGGAGCTCCACGCCACGGAGGCGGGGATTAAGTTTCTCAAAACCATGACTCATTCCTTTCTCGGCCTTCCGATAACGTCTCTCCCTCGGCCTCCCTTCCCCTCCCCTCCCCGTCACTCACCTCTCCCACACCCACCAGAGTGCATGCCGCTGAAGGGCTACCCCCCGCTGCTGCTGGAGCTGCACGCCACAGAGGCGGAGATGAAGAAGCTGTGGGACTATCCATTCCCCCCATCTCCCGCTACCCCCCCGTCTTCACTCACCCACCAGAGAGCATGCGGCTGAAGGGGTAACCCCCGCTGCTGCTCACGGCTGATAGGCTATCCCATTCCCCCCATTCGGCCCCCACTCACTCGCCCACCAGAAACCATGCGGTTAAAAGGGTACCCCCCTCTGCTGCTGGAGCTGCACGCCACGGTGGCGGAGATCAAGGCCCATGAAGCGCTCACCCGCTCGCTCCCCTCTCTCTTTTATCCCCGTCCGCACCCCCACTCATTCATTAGAAAGCATGCGGTTAAAAGGGTACCCCCCGCTGCTGCTGGAGCTGCATGCCACAGAGGCGGAGATCAAGGCCCTTGAAGCGCTCACCCGCTCTCTCTTCCTTGACATCTGCACCCTCCGTGAAGAGAAGGTGGGGGATAGGAGGGGTGGGGGGTGGGGGGTCAACAGGGGTGGGGGATAGGTGGGAGTTAGGGGGCTCTTGAATGCTTCTTGTCTCTTGAAGCCCTCACTTGCTCGCACTTCCGCAACATTTGCAACCTGCGCTAGGAGAAGGTGGTGGGGGGGGGGGGGGGGGGGGGAACAGGAGGAGTGGAGTAGTGATATCCTTGAATTCTGCAACCTGAATCCTTCTTATCTCTTGAAACATCCACTCGCTCGCTCTTCCTCGACATATGCCCCCTCTGCGAGGAGAAGGTGGGGGGCAATGGGTCGTGTTTCAGCGTGAATCCACCTTGGCTCTTGATTGAAGCCTCCACTCACACGCAGCTCTCAACAATTGCCAACTTAAGGAGAAGGTGGAAGAAAGGAGATGAGGTTGAATGTCTCTACCCAGAGGCCACAGCCCCTGGCAGTGCCTACAACCCCTCTATGTTGCGCCTGACGCGTCAGGCGTTTTTTACGCTGGCGTCTGGACGGGGCGTCCAGACGCTTGATGCCCGGTGTCCTCTGCCCTGGACGCCCGCTTGACGCTGGTCCGGGCAGGGCAAAACTTTTCCCGGGCAGGGGTAAAAAAACCTGCCTAGTAAGGATACGCAGGGGTTAGAATGCAAGAAGTTCACTTTTGTCACCTACAGTTATAAATACTCCATACTTGCGTTCTCCTTCCACACCACCTGCAGAAGGTGTGGAGCCACTACCAGATTGACCGGCGGAACTAGGAATTGACATGATAACTTAATCGCCTTAGCTAGGAAGGCTTAGTAACGTGACTGGCGGATTCTAGTGTAGGTTATGCCTGGCAATGTCGAGAGAACAGATCTGTGAAGTGGCGACCTAGATCTGGTTCTCTAGTTTAGTTGGGAGTTGTCCTGGTTGGGAGCAGTAGATTGGGATGGGTAGAAATGTGTGGGGGGGAATAAATGTGGGTTGCGTTTTTCTAGGTAAAAAACGCAACACCCGCTTGCCAATTGCAATTCTGGTCGCGATGATATCGCACGTCAATTGCGTGCGGGTTTTTTTTCCGGGCTGCCCGAAAATAGTTTTCCCGAACGTCCAGCGTCAAACCGATTTGACGCGTCCAGCGTCCGGACGTGACCGTCCGGATGCTGGACGCTGCCCTTTCAGGGCGTCAGGCGCAACATAGCAACCCCTGGCAGTGCCTACAACCCCTGGCAGTGCCTACCTCAACCCCTGGCAGTGCCTGCCTCAACCCCTGGCAATGCTTGCACACCTCCTTTTCAACCTTGAAAACCTACTTCTTCCGCTTCCTTCCTGCCGCCCTCCCTTCCCTTGCACCCTTCTCCCCCGACAGGCAGCCATGGCGTATTCGCGCACGTGGAAGGGGCATGTGAAGAACATCTTTGGCTACATTGGCTCCGCTTACTGTATTGCCAAGATGTACACGGTATGGTATAAATAAGATGTACACGGTATGGTATAAATAAGATGTACACGGTATGGTATAAATAAGATGTACACGGTATGGTATAAATAAGATATACACGGTATGGTATAAATTAGATGTACATGGTATTGTATAAATAAGATGTACACGGTATGGTATAAATAAGATGTACACGGTATGGTATAAATAAGATGTACACGGTATGGTATAAATAAGATGTACACGGTATGGTATAAATAAGATGTACACGGTATGGTATAAATAAGATGTACACGGTATGGTATAAATAAGATGTACACGGTATGGTATAAATAAGATGTACACGGTATGGTATAAATAAGATGTACACGGTATGGTATAGATATGATGTACACGGTATGGTATAGATAAGATGTACACGGTATGGTATAAATAAGATGTACACGGTATGGTATAGATATGATGTACACGGTATGGTATAGATAAGATGTACACGGTATGGTATAGATAAGATGTACACGGTATGGTATAAATAAGATGTACACGGTATGGTATAAATAAGATGTACACGGTATGGTATAAATAAGATGTACACGGTATGGTATAAATAAGATGTACACGGTATGGTATAAATAAGATGTACACGGTATGGTATAAATAAGATGTACACGGTATGGTATAAATAAGATGTACACGGTATGGTATAAATAAGATGTACACGGTATGGTATAAATAAGATGTACACGGTATGGTATAAATAAGATGTACACGGTATGGTATAAATAAGATGTACACGGTATGGTATAAATAAGATGTACACGGTATGGTATAAATAAGATGTACACGGTATGGTATAAATAAGATGTACACGGTATGGTATAAATAAGATGTACACGGTATGGTATAAATAAGATGTACACGGTATGGTATAAATAAGATGTACACGGTATGGTATAAATAAGATGTACACGGTATGGTATAAATAAGATGTACACGGTATGGTATAAATAAGATGTACACGGTATGGTATAAATAAGATGTACACGGTATGGTATAAATAAGATTTACACGGTATGGTATAAATAAGATGTACACGGTATGGTATAAATCAGATGTACACGGTATGGTATAAATAAGATGTACACGGTATGGTATAAATAAGATGTACACGGTATGGTATAAATAAGATGTACACGGTATGGTATAAATAAGATGTACACGGTATGGTATAAATAAGATGTACACGGTATGGTTGCACATCATGACTTGTGCTTGTATGTATGTACCTGCGAGAAACACCAGCTTTTTCTTGTCAGAATCCTCCACCGTATGCAGATGTATTTCCTCTATTGGGCACTAAACTGATTATTTTCTTCCTTCCAGGTTTTGTTTTCCCCTTAACGTATATGTGTATACATATATACTTGAACCAATCCAAAGGCATCATGGATTTTCTTTTGCTTTTTCAACGCCTTTTCGTTCTGCTTCTCCCGCTCAATTCTGGACCTGTGGTTGCTACTCACGGGTGCTTCGGCTGCCATCGCCCCCCCTCAGTCCACGCGCACCATCATCACCAAGGAGGTGCGCCTCTCACCTTGTCTGTTTGGAGATTGAGGTGTGCTGTAATTCGACCAGCACACACCTTTTGAGTCAACTCAAAACACGCCATCGCCCCCCCCCCAGTCCACGCGCACTATCATCACCAAGGAGGCGCGCCCCTCACCTTGCATGCCCTAGGCGCCAGCAGGCAACACTCTCCTTTGCATTTCCTCCACTTCCTGTGCAAACAAGCTGGTGCTAATCTGCTTCCTCCAGAGCTTTCATTCAGTTTGCACACATGTCACCCCTGTTCTTGTCAGCTGTCACCTGCTTTCTTGTGTCTCCCTCCTAAATGCATTTCCATTTTTTATCTCGATTGTCCCCTCTCCACCCTTCTCCACCACTCCCCACCCTATCAGGTGGGCATGGGTGACCCTGTGACCAGGGCGCTGGGCTTCATTCTCAAGTTCTTCCACATCAGCCTCAACGTGCCGCTCGTATCACAGGTAACCACAACCTTGTCTCTCAACTGATTCTCAACGCTCTCTGCTCTCAAGGCCGTTCACATCACATCCGCCTAAACTGCCTCTTGTGCTGCACGCCGCTGGTCTCCTAGTCTGCCACCACTCGTCCTATCACAGATTGTTGTTCCGATGGTATGTGAAAGATGCAGTTGTTGATGCGGTCGCCCCAATTATCCCCTCAACCATTCTCCCACTCCACCTCGTTCTTGTGTTTGAAGTGTAGTTATGAGACGTCTCAAACTTCAAGCACTTCAAATCTTCAAAACTACTCTCCAAACACGTGCCCACTCCACCTCGTTCTTCTTGCTTCTTCATCCTTCCTCGAGCGGTCGTCCAATGTGATTCTGATGGGTGCTTGCATACATGCCATTCCCCCACCCCCACCTCCACATGCTCAAGTAGTCTCCCATTGCTCAGTCGGTCGTTTGACACAATTCACAATCAGGTTGCGGACTCCACTTGGGTCTAAAGAAAAAGAGTAGCAGCAGAACGTTCTTTTACGCCCATTCTTCCTTGTGCTCGCATCTTCCTCCTCCCTCCCGATATCTCATTCCCATAACTTACACATAAAATACACCCACCCACCCCCCCTCACACCCAACTACCTGCATGATTTCCATATTGTCCCCTTTGCAGTACGTCTCGCTGGTGTTCATAGGAATCCTTATCACTGTCTCCATTAGAGGCTTCCTCACTAACCTCACCAAGGTAAGTGGCCAACTGTTAGGGCTCACTCACCTATGTTTGTGCCTCTTGTTAAGTTGTCAGAACTGCCGCCTCAGAAGTGGGCAACCCTTAGGGCTCTCCTTGGGTTGTGCCTTCGGTTGAGTTGTCAGCACCGCCACATCCGTCATGTTAGCCTCCGCCTTGCCTTCATTCACCTGCTCACTCTTTTCGCGTCTCAACGTATATGTCCTTCCATACTCTTCCCCTCTCCCCTCGCTCACCACTCCTCCCCTCCCCCTCCTCCGCACCCCTTGCATTTCCTCTCGGCAGTGTCAGGAGGGGCCAGTTGGGCGTCAGGCAGTCGCTTTTCAAGTACCTTCCCTCACCACTCCACCCGCCACCACCCCCAGTTCCTCTCGGCAGTGCCAGGCGGGGCCAGTGGGGCGTCAAGCAGCGCGGTGCTCTTTATGTTATCATCCCTATCCCTCCTCCTTCCCTCCATACTCCTCCACTCCCCTTCCCCCCCCACCCCTTGCAGTTCCTCTCAGCGGTGTCGGGCGGCGCCAGTGGAGCCTCAAGCAGGTAGTTTATTCTCTTCAAGTACCCACCCTCATCCTACCCACTTTCCCTCACCACTCCACTCCCCATCCCTCTCCAGTTCCTCTCAGCAATGTCAGGGGGCGCCAGTGGGGCGTCAAGCAACGCAGTGCTCTTCGTGTGGTCACCCTCATACCCCCCCCCCCATTCCTTCTCTCCAGTTCCTCTCAGCAGTGTCAGGCGGCGCCAGTGGGGCGTCCAGCAACGCAGTGCTCTTCCTGGCGGAGATCATGGGCACCTACTTCGTCTCATCCATCCTCCTTATAAGAAATAGCCTTGCGCTGCAATACAGGTGAGCACCTACTTCGTCTCCTCCATCCTCCTTATAAGGAACAGGCTCGCACTGCAATACAGGTGCGCACCTACTTAGTCTCCTCCATCCTCATAAAAAACAACCTCGCGCTGTGATACAGGTGTGCATGGTAGAAACCCTGGCTTATGTGAGACCTCAATGCAGGTGCCTGGATTTTTCATCCTTACACTTAACTAATTCACACCACAGCAGCACTTATCCATATATGCACACAATTGGGCTCATTTTGTTGTCTTCCTGTCTAATTGTGTACACAAGGTTGCTTATAAGCAGTCTAATTGCCAGCTGGTTCCTGTTTCACATCGATACCCGTCATTCACCTGTGTTCATTCCACTCACTGTTACCTGCCGGGGTTGTTGCACTTCATTGTTACTTGCCATGCTTGTTGCACTTCACTGTTACTTGCCATGTTTGTTGCACTTCATTGTTACCTGCCATGCCTCTTGCACATCACTCCTACCTGCCATGTGTGTTGCAGGCTTCTGATCACGGAGGTACTCGGAGGCGACATTCAGTTCAACTTCTTCTATAGGTGGTTCGATGCCATATTTGTTGCCAGCTCTGTCATCACCATTGTGGTTTTTGCTGCTCAGCACACTTCAAAGCGAACAGACAAGCACCCCATTGATTAAAGCAGATGCCTCTGGTATGACTAATAGCGATAATAAGGAAGAGACTGTTCTAACAAGCAGTCATGAGTACTTATTTTAAACATACAGCTCCCATGGCATTTAGCATATCCACAAAATTGACAGATACCGTAAGATTGATACAAATTATAGGGGGTCATTTGACATGTCGGATGTGTGATGGCTTCAGCCATCAGGCATTAAACATGTTTTAAAGCCCACAGCCCAGGTTGCACAAGATTAGTAATCTTGATGATGTTGGGCTGAGAAAGCCCTTAAGGATCTTTGCAGAGGATAACTCTGGGTAGGATATTTGTAATAGCGGAAGCGTTTTAATGAAGTTTGTGAACCGACCTTGCACTAGTGTGTGAGAGCAAAGTGGATTAAATTAAACAAGCAAATACAAGGTTTTATATAAGAGTACAGGGAATACGAATGGATAGATAACTGTATTTGCTGTTGCGATTCGAAACAGTGCGACTCGGGCAACTGCTCTGTAACGAGTCAGTTGTGTGTCCTTAACTGTCGCGCTGTAATTGTCGAGTCAAAGGTCGCTGACCTTTGACTTTCCCGTAACCTCCAGGCGGTTACCCTAACCTCCGAGGTTTGACTCGATGCTTCGATTCGGACTGCTTCGCTAGTGTCTTGGGTTTTGACACGACAGAAGCGCACTAAGACTTATTGTTTCCAACACTCCCCTTCGCTTCTGGAGTGTCGCCGCAGGTGACGTGGCCTTGTCCAGTCAGCAGCATGCAGTATTCGAACTTCTGCTTTCCGAGCTTCTTGGTCAAGTAATCGGCTGCCATCTCAGACGTGGGACAGTATGACAGATCGAGTTTCCCCTTTTCGATCTCGTCCTTCACGAAGAAATAGCGCAGGGCGATGTGTTTCGTCCTGTTTGCGAAGCCGTTCTTGTTGGCGATGCGAATTGCTGACTGGTTGTCGCAGAACACGGTGAAGCTGGGTAACTTGGCTAACTTCGCTTCTTCCAGCAGTTCGCGAAGGTAAAGTCCCTCCTTGGTGGCTGAGCAGAGTGCAATATATTCCGCTTCAGCTGAAGACAGTGCGATTAACTCCTGCTTACTCGACTGCCAGGAGATAGGACCGATAGGTTCGAGGCGGTAGACATAGCCGGTGCGTGAGCGCCTATTGTCGGTGTCGCCGGCGTGATCGGCGTCGACGTAGCCGATTAGCTTGATCGGTGTAGTTGCGTTTTTGTGATAAGTTAATCCGATCGTCGCGATGCTGACGAAATAGTGGAGAGCGCGATCGAGTTCCGCCAGATGCTCTGCTTCAGGCTTCTTGAGATAGGTGGCGAGCTGGCTCGCGGAGTAGGATAAGTCGGGACGGCATGTGACTGCTGCGAAGAGAAGACATCCGAGCTTCTTCTGGTAGTCGCGTATGCCGGCGGGCTTGAGTAGGGTAGATCGTCCCTTTTCGGTTCCTGACGTGTAGCGGTAAGGCGTGGAGATGGCGCTTGGTGTGAGGCTGAAGCGTTTCGCGATGGTGTCGGCGTACTTCTCGGCGCTTAGATAGATTGCGTTTTCTTCCTCGCGGATGTTGAGCCCGAGGTACTGCGTAACGGTAGAAGAGACTGTGAGCGTGAGGTCTTTCTGAAGCTCCCCTTCCAACCACGTGGCGATGCCGTCGGTTGACCCAATGTAGAGGAGATCGTCCACGTAGACGATTAGGAGAACGTAGTCACTTCCCTTTGTGAGGCGATACATGCCCTGGTCATGCGGGAGTTGTTTGAAACCGATGCGAATGAGGCGGGCGTGTAGGTACTGCTGCCACAGTCGCGGTGCCTGCTTGATCCCGTAGAGCGACTTAAGCAGTTGACAGACTCGGTTGGGTTCGCCGTGGGAGCCGTGCGGGAGCTCGACGAAGATTTCTGCATCCACAGGTGCGTAGAGAAATGCGTTTGCGACGTCGATTTGTCGCATTTTCTTTTTCTTCATGGCGGCGACGGCGATGAGGATTCGGAGTGAGGTGTGACGGCTGACCGGAGCGAAGGTTTCGGTGTAATCTCTTCCGTGCTCCTGGTCAAAGCCGCGCACGACCCAGCGAGCTTTGAATTTGTCGATGGTGCCGTCAGCTTTCGTCTTCACATGGAAGACCCACTTCCCGGTAAGGATAGTCTTGTTTTGTGCTACGCCGATGGGAACGATTTTCCAGGTGTTGCGCTCCTCCAGTGCCTTCAGCTCTTTGTCCATGGCTTCACGCCATTTCTCCCTATGTTCCCCCTCCAGAGCCTGTTGAACCGTCGCAGGCTCCTTAGGTATGGCGGCGCCATGGACTGCGGTGACGAGACCAAGGATTTGCAGTCCAGTCTGTGAGTATCGAGGGAGTTCTGGATCCTCGGGATAAGCTGCTTCGTCTCCCACTTCTGGGTCGGGTATGAAATTAGGCCCTACCCTTTCTGCTTCGTTGGTGTTGACTGTCGCAGGTGTTACGTAGCCATTGTCGGCGAAATGGTAGAAGACTTCGGCGTTGTTACTGTCGCGAGGATTTTCCTCATCCATGGGCACGTCGACGGAGCAGTACGGAAGAGGTCCGGCTTCCTCCGATGCGTTGTCGACGTTCTGCTCATCCCAGTCTGCTTCATCCGCTGCTGACGCGAAGGCTCGGTCACCACGAAAGCCACCGGTGAGGTCCTGATTCTCGTGCAAGTTGGCGAGGTACGTCTGAAGGGTGAGTCGTTCGTAGAAGATCACATCACGTGCTGCTACTGTTTCTTTTGTGTGGACGTCGAAGATTCTCCACGCATTGTAATTTTTCTCGATGCCGAGGTGTAGTCCCCACTGTGCCCTGTCAGAGTATTATAGCTGATGCATGTTTGTAGGCTATAGTGGGGTAGCACATATGGGGTACAGCTTTCTAGGGTTGTATTTGTACCCAACTCTGACTTAGTCATTCCCATTCCTGTTCACTTGTTCCACATGGTATAGAGCGGGTCCTTCCTTAGGACCGTTTTTTTTAGGGCACACCGAAGCGCGCCCCGAGGCGCGCCTTTTTTTTTTAGCGACCCCTCGGGTCGCCATTTCCCTCGCGGCCCCGCTGTCCCTCAGACGCGGCCCCGCCACCTCTCCTGATCGCGGCCCCGCCGCCTGCTTGACGCGGCCCCGCCGCCTCCACTGACGCGGCCCCGCCGCCGGCTCTGACGCGGCCCTGCCGCCCGCTTCGTCGCGGCCCCGCCGCCTGCTTGACGCGGCCCCGCCGCCTCCACTGCCGCGGCCCCGCCGCCGCCTCTGACGCGGCCCTGCCGGCCCGCCGCTGCACCCTACGGCCCGCCGCTGCACCCTACGGCCCGCCGCCTCACCTGACGGCCCCGCCGCTGCACCTGCCGGCCCGCCGCTGCACCTGCCGGCCCGCCGCTGCACCCAGCGGCCCGCCGCTTCACCTGACGGCCCCGCCGCTGCACCTGCCGGCCCGCCGCTGCACCCTACGGCCCGCCGCTGCACCCTACGGCCCGCCGCCTCACCTGGTCGGCCCGCCGCTGCACCCTACGGCCCCTCCGCTGCACCTGCCGGCCCGCCGCTGCACCGGTCGACCCGCCGCTGCACCTGACGGCCCCGCCCCTGCATCTCCCGGCCGAGCCGCCCCAGCAGCCGAACCGCCCGGGACCCGAGCCGCCCTCCCGCCGAGCCGCCCGGGAGCCGAGCCGCCCTGCACCCGAGCCGCCCTGCCGCCGAGCCGCCCGGGAGCCGAGCCGCCCTGCGCCCGAGCCGCCCAGCCGCCGAGCCGCCCGGGAGCCGAGCCGCTGTGCACCCGAGCCGCCCGGTCGCTGAGCCGCCTTTCTGCAGAACTGCACGACCTGCCCTGCCTGGTGAGCACAGTCCCACTGACACTGCGAGCTCTTTTCCTACTGCTTGCACTGCGTCGCTGTCGTCGCCATGGCTACCCCTAGTGTCCTAGCTTTTGACGCTGAGGGTCGCGCCATTGATTTTGAGGTCTGGTTAGACGACCTGCAGCTGTTCTTACAGTGCGACAGGGCTGACGACCTTTCTCTCTTTGACCTCACCTCTGGCGCCTCTCCTGTTCTTGCTGCTGATGCTGATCCCACTGTCCGCTCTCAGTGGGCCACCCGCGATGCTGCTGCACGTCTTGCTGTGCGTCGCCACCTCCCTACCTCTGAGCGTGCGCACTTTAGTCAGTACAAGAGTGCTCAGACCTTGTACGACGCTGTAGTTGCGCGCTACTCCTCCCCTGCCACTGCTGCACTGAGCCGTCTCATGCTTCCCTACCTCTTTCCTGACCTCTCTGCCTTTCCCACTGTTGCTGACCTCATTACGCACCTCCGCACTAGTGACACTCGCTACCGCGCCGCCCTTCCTGCTGAGTTCTGCGCTAAGAACCCACCCCCCATGTACATCGCTCTCTACTACGTAGTCGCGCGCCTCCCTGACTCCCTTCGCGTCGTCAGCGACCACTTTCTCGCAGTCTGTCCCACCACCCTCACCGTCGACCTCCTCGAGAAGGCCCTCCTCGCAGCGGAGAAGAGCATAGTCGCTATAGGTGCTTCTCGTGGTGACCCTCGCACCCCCATCTTTGAGGGGTGCTCTCCTTCCCCCTTGCTGCCCTCTGTTGCCTCTGCTGCTGCTGCCGACCTACTTGGTCTTGAGTCGGTCGGCGCGGCGTCTACCCCTAGTGGGAGACGTCGCTCCAGCAAGGGCAAGGGGGGCAAGGGCGCGGGTGGAGCTGGAGGGGGCGGTGGCGGTGGCGGCGGTGGCGGCGGAGGGAGTGGGGGTGGCGGCGGGACTAGTGGCGGGGGTGGTGGTGGTGGTGGCAGCAGCGGCGGAGACGGTGGTGGTGGTGCCAGCGGTGGTGGTGGAGGCAGCGGCGGAGGTGGAGGCGGCGGAGGTGGAGGCGGTGGAGGCGGCAGCGGAGGAGGCGGTGGTGGTGGAGGAGGTGGAGCTGGTCGGGGTGGTACCCAGCAGCGTAGCGGCGGTGGTGGTGGCCAGCGCTCGCAGCGGCAGCAGCAGCAGCGCTCGCGGGACATCCCT